GCCGGTTCTACAACAACAAGTAGTGGTAATAGTGAATGCAAGCTTAGGCATTTTCATTCTCATGTGCTGACATACAAGATGTATCCCTTGGGGACCTTCTCTGAGTTGAACTGAAGTATTAAATAAGTTCTAACTAAATTGTTCTGAAACATCTAATTAGACAAAACCTTGTACAAGTGAGAAAAAGAATCCAGAATCTTGGTTTGGATGTGATTTATTCCTGTCTTTGAATGTGCTGAACAGGGCATGCAAATGCTGTGTTAGATGCCATTTTGAAAAAGGTTTACCTCTTTTACCACATAAGTATAATTTAACCTTGGCCCTTGTGCAAGCTTTTCGCTATTCTCACTGCTTTTCAACATTGAAGTGAACAGGAATCTATCAAGGACTCATAATCCTTCAAGAATGAGTAGCTGGTGGATAACCAGCTGACCCTAGAACAGGAGAGATGGGGCCCTTATGTGAAGTTTCACTGTCACTAGAGAGGGGACGAGGGGGAATTATTGAAGGAAAATATTTTAAGACAATGCAAGCTTACCCTTCCTAATACATGCATTTTATTGCTTCTGTAGATTTTAGTATAAAAGCCTGTGGTCTGTGTATGTAGTATTACAGGGCAAACCTAGAACAGCAAGCAGCATTTTCTAAGTGATGGTTGTGAGCCAACATTTGACACCGTTTCTGAGTGATTTATGCCGCTCCTAGATGAGGAAATGCTTCACCAAGAAAATAAAAATGGCAGGAGAATTATGTCATTGGCACTATCGTTGACTAAAATTAATTGATGATGCAGTGCCTTCATTATGATGAAAGGGCTGGGTAAGGATACAGTTCATCAGAAAAAACAGTGACCAATTTGTAGCTTTGCTTTATTTTCATGTGTTTATACCATAGAAACTGATGGATTCTAAAAAGCACGGAAGTATCATTTGCATATGTGGTTTGGGAATATAGCCCTTGTTAATTGATTAATGTATCGTAAGAAATTTTATATTGAGCTTCCGATAGACTAATAAAGGTATCAGGAAATTTGTTTTCCAGGAAATTCTTTCATGCTTCAGTGTCTCATTATTTCCCATTAATTGTACTTTTAATCCTTGTTTGCTTCTTTTCTGAGTGCAGAACTGCAGCTGGTCTTCAAAGGTATGTGTCAGTTTGTCCAGCAGAAATCTAGAAGTGTGAAAGTTACTTACAGGATTTTAAGTAGCTCTTAGTCAATGTGCAAAACTGATCCTTCAGAAAAGAGGCACGAAGTTGAATAGTAGTACACTGTATCTTGTGAATGGTAGTAACTCCTTGTTTTGGGGAAAAATTAATATAATGGTACAGCGATTGAACTGTAGTTCCCAAAAGGAGAGAAATTGTTTATTACAGTTGGCAGCAGCATTGACTTGGGGTTCTCTAAACCATAGTTGGGAAGTAGTTTGTTGACCTTTAAGTAATCCTGGACTGTATTTTGATGCAAACTTTCTGAGGCAGTACAGAAGGCTGCTTGTGTACTAAACCATTGAAAATCATGCAATTGAAATAAAATGGCTGCCTTGGTTATCTTGAGTAGGGCACAGAAATGGCAATCAAAAGATTATCTGGAGGGATGTGGATGCCTTGTTGGGTGCTTTTACTGTTGCTGAACAATACTACTTATTTTCTTAAAGCAAAACAGCACTCCAGAATATTACCGTAAGAAATCCTAATACAGCTGATTATTCATAGCATAGAGAGTTGGGGTTTTTTTACCATTTGTTGTGGCTGTTGGCATAGTTTTAAAAAAAAAAAGTATCAGTTGTTTGCTATCAGCTGGAAAGATTTGTTTTATTAATATTCCATCTTTCATAATCTGTGGTCTTGCTAGCCCCCCAAATGTCCATGCTTTTATTAACTAGCTGTAGAACTTCTGTCACTTGTATTTCAGTAATTACTTCGAGTACTGACAATGAATACCTAACTGGCTTCTGTGGTGAAAATGTGGTTCCTAAATTATAGATGTTACTTTAAAAGAGCTAGTGTGTTTTATACTGACAAACATTAATAACTTCATGAACTAACATCCCCTGGTGGTCCAGGGACATTTCAAAATGTGAAGTATTTTTTTGATTCACAAGTTAAGAAGAAGTTTCTTCTTCTTTGTGAATGTATTTACTCCCTTGCACTGATCCTTCCCAGATTTTTGTTTTGAGTTTTGTGTTTACAGTCCCCAAATTAGGTGGTTTCATTTTTTTGAAATGTTTTGCATTTAACAATTCTAGCTCAAGAATATGTAGTATTTCTAGTGTCCTCATAAAAATAGTTACAGTTGAAATTTTGTTGTAAATGTTTTCCTGATATTTTCCAGTCTGGCACTGCACATTCCCAAATGTGATCCTCTTGACCTGAAATTTTTCATAGTTGCAATGTAATTACTTTTTGATGTTGCAATATAAAAATAATTAGATTTTTTTTTTTACTTGAGTTTTAAGAGTAGACAATATTTTTTCCCTGTTTAAAATCTTTCAGGTGCCGTTCTGCAAAAATAGACCAACACTAGTAGAATCTTAGAAAAGAAATTTCCACTTAGCTCCTGCTTTTTTCAAAAGCCAAGGAAGATAGCCAGAGAAATACTGTTTTTGTCATAACTGAATGTTTGCATGAATTTTTAACATCATGCAGAGCAGTGTTTTCAAATGCTATTTTGTGGAACAGGACATTTTATATACTTCCAAAATGAAATCTTCAGTTAAAAAATTTTCAACTTTGGCATACAAAGTATTTATCTCCTGTTAGCCTTTTCCTTCTTTTCTGTCGTCCTCTCCTTGTTCCCAGAGGAAACAAGGGAAGGGATGGGATTCTTATCCAATGGACTTATCTGTGCCACTCCTGTTCAGTCTAATGAAAGATGGGCAGCCTAGAAGTCACTGCCTAAGTGTAATATCCCATGAAATGAAAATTACCTCATGGAGGGGCAATATTTTGCTCAACCTTTGATATAAAACTTTAATTTTTGCATTTCCCAATTTTTGTGTCTGTGTGCTTAAACTCATAATGCTAACCTTGTATTCTGGTAAGATTATTTTTCATTTTCTAATCATTTTATTTTTCCTTTTTTTCCCTCTAGTAATAAAATCTAATTTTTGTGTGTGAAGCTGGTGTGTAAAGTATGATTAAGTTAAATGGATATATTCCTTTTAATAATGTAAAACTTAAGTTTCAGGCAAACCAAGTCATCAGCATAGTTTTAAAAAAATGCTGTGAACCTTGGTATCTATTTTTTTTAAAGCTTCTATGTACTGTAACATAACCTACTCCAAGTAATTATCATATATTATAGTGGTTGCCATTAGTGACTGCTATAATTAAGGTTGCAAATCAGTTTCCATTATAATCCCTCGTTTTCACGGAATCATAACTTGTCAAAACACTAACCTTTGGGACTAAAGTTTTCCACAGTTGTTCTGCTTAGAGGTAAATTTGGGGGGAGGGAGGAGGAAAAGGAGTTTGAACTATCCTTATAGCAAATCACTGTCTGGTCATTTTGTGTTACAGGATCAAACTGCATAGCAAGGAGGTAAACAGTTATTTCCAGGGACTAGAAAAACCTAGAAGGAAGGTTAAAGGACAAGTGGTACAGAACTGCCTTGAATTTTGGTTGCACTTCTAATTTTGATGAGCCGCACTGCTATTTTGTTTTGCAGCGTCTCTGCATAATGCTGCAAACAGTATTACTCTTACTTTATTAGCATCTACGTCCCACAATAAAACTGCACTATGTCGATTTTACTGATAATCAGATGACAGTCAGATTACAAAGGTGGAGAAGAGATAAAACGGTCAGTTGTGGATTCATGATTCCAGCTGTGAATCCCAGTCCTGAATCTGATGCTGGTTTGGGGGGGGGAAAGTTTCCCTAAAAGTGAAGTGGGGAGGCAATGTAAGAAAACATTCACTGTGATTATTTTCCCAGTAGTAGCTCCTAAATGTCAAGAACTACCGCACTGCTCTTTCCTGGGTAGAAAATAGCACATTCCTGTATCACTACAGATAACGCTGTATGTAAACTTTTTGTGGTGACCAATATGCAAACCTTGTGTAAGTTCCCATTTATAGTATTTTCAGTATGACTTGACAATTTATTTTATCCTATAAAGAGATCACGTTTTAAGGCATAATATAAGGGAGTGCTTGGGCAGGCAGAGTTGAAGGATAAGCTTTCAACCCTAACATTCATTTCCTGTGCTTGTTTTATCGTCCCTTAACATTACATTAGCACTGTTTCTTTGCATAGAATTCATTTTAAGAAATGGTGATTGGTTCTTCCCCTCAGCCCTCTGGGAAAGTATTTTAATTAGTTTCTTGAGATATATGATAATAAACTGAAGTACAGTTACTGAAGAAAAATTACAATTTTTGTTACATTCAGAAATTGCTCCTCTACTAGTCTGTCTGCAAACTGTTGCTACTGTAAACATCTTTCTTTATAAGATGTTGTGAAATATTGCAAAGGTACGATTTACAGATAATATAAAATAAATCATAACATAGAAAAAAGCATAAACCTTCCAAAAGATCAGTTTTTGGGAGACCTCATTGTCTGCAGAGGGTCCTGTGAGTCAGGGAGATGTCTTGCAGATGGGAAGGTTTCCACATCTGGATTCTTTTTACCAATTGAGGTCTTTGATCTGAAAATGTTACAACTCTCCTATGCCCTGTGATTTGTCTGGCAAGATGAGTTATTTACAAATGCAATTGCTCTTCTGACAACTCAGTTTTGGGTGTGTAAGTGCTGAGGTCCTGATCTGTAACCCACAAGGACTGCTGGTAGTCCTTTTATTGGTTTCAGTGGGCTTTGATTCAAATACGTGGACTTTGAAGCACCCCAGGCGGATTAGGTAAAAAAAGGCTTTTTACAAACGATTATAATTTAAAGATTTAGGATTCTGTGTGTCTGAAATAATTTGACAGTGTTTCAAAGGCTTGTGAATTTAAATAAGTTTCTGATCTTTGTGTCTTTTCTTTTATTCCTCCAGTGGCAGATGAAAGCAAAGTTGGTTTGTTGGCCGGACACAAATCGGGTAAGCTGTTCTCCTATTTTGGGGGAAAAGTCAGCAACTTGAAAGTAGTATGGGCAGTAAATGAAATCAGCTTACAGATAATTGTTGTGACTAAAAGAGTTGCAAATTAAAGCATTACTTTGTATGCACTGACTCCAAGTTGTACAATGATGAATTAGGGGTTGTTCTTTGCCAGGCAGTGTATGTAGCTGAGTCATTTGCAGGAAGAGCTGTAACTTTTTTTTTTCTTCAGTGCAGGTGTTGTAAACTGAAGAAGATGCCCTTTCAAATAAGGGCAAGTGCAACGTGTCTTTTGGAGTGTGGAGATTTAAACGATATACATTTTGAAAAATATAACTATTTCTTGCTTTTTCTCCTTGCTCTGAGTTCCACTTCCATTACCAGGAATATTGAAGATAACACAAAAAAAAAAATCTACAGATTAAAAAAAGAATGTCAAGGCTTTTCCTTTCATTGTGCTTGTGCAGTAGAAATAATTGTGGTTTTCTTAACCTTTTCAGGCCACAGTAATAAAAAAAAATTAGTCCATACTGCTGTCATTACTGTACCTACTTATTAAATAAGTTCCGCAAACCACACCATGGTACTGTATAACTTACAGTTCTTGTATTATAAGAACTTTCAAGGAAATGTCACATAAGTTTGTAATTTTTCACAAGCTGTGGATAAGCTGACATAAGAAACCTTAAACTTTCTAGAAAACTCAAGTTATTCAGCAATTTCTTCTGATGTTAGAAAACCCTGAAGTTTGACCACTGCAGCAAAAGCTGCCCCTTTGTAGCATGATTGCACGTTGCCTTTTTCCACCCCTTTGATAGAACTAAAAAGCTGAATTCATGTAAAGGAAGGTCAACTATGAGATTCCTGATTGTTTATGGTATTCCTTCTCTGTGCAACTGGGTGTCCTTTAGCTCTCTGGTATGGATTTTCCTTATCTGAAGACCGTTTCCTGAACTTAGTAAACAAATTCTTTTTAAATTTTTCTGGCATCTTTCCTAAGTCTGTGAACTTCGCGGATTCTCTTTCTGAATCAAGGGGTAGTTCATATGTCTTGTAACATCATCACTCCTGGGGAGAGAAAATTCTTTCAACTTTTTGTTTTGGGAATGTGAAAGCTTCAAAGAAATGATCTTGTCAACTTGAAGAAGCCCTTGAGTTTTTTCCTGTGCAGAAAAATTACTATAAACATTGCAACATCATACAGTTTTCCAAAGATCAGTGGAATTCACTGCTATCAAAGAAGGTCGGAAGGAAACCTGGTGAGATCATAACTCTTTGGCAATCAGTTGTTATAGGTACATTAAGCTTTATAATATCACTTTTAGCAACATTTGATCTTTCTTCTGCACACTTCTCCAGATTCTTGAAAACCATGGCGTTGAAAATTTTTCTATTTGAGGACACCTACAGATTTTATATGCAAACATGGACCAATGCTTATTGAACGTTGGCTTGTTTGCTTTACTTATCCTTCATAGACCTCTTACATGTACCTAAGATCTTTTTTCATAGACTAAAATCAGTGGTCAACAGATCACCTAAGGAACAGATACAAAGATCCTACAGGTTGTTTCTTTTTTCCCCCTTCAGAATAAAAGGAGCTAGCTAACTTCTGAGCAGGTTGGAGTGTAAATGATTTTTCTTGATTCTGTCCACTTTAAATACTGTTCAATTACTGTTGAAAAATGTTTCTCCCTTCTCTATGTTCCATTTCCTAACCCTTCATAAAGAGAAATCAAGTTGCGGTTTCAGCTTTCTCATTGTTCCATTCAAATACTTATTTTAAAGATTTGTTCAAGAACATGGCATTTTTTTCTCTGGTCCTTTTTTACTGTATGTTTTTTGGAATTATGTATGATATACGCATCCTGTTGGCATTCAGTCACATCACAGAACTCTTGTTTTAACATCGTTCATTGTGCTGCCTTCCTTGAAGGTATACGTACCTTTTTTAAGAACGCACTAAGGGAGACATTGCAGCTTCTTGTGCTGGGAGCAAAACACCATTATTTTCTCATTACAGAATGAAGAGCTTCCATCCTATTCTAGACTTCAGGAAATTAAACATATTTCTCTACAGAATTAATTATCGCCTACTAACAGTCAATGCAATTATCCCTTCTCTCCTTCAACATGACGTCCTATGAAATACACAGTTGAGTAATTCTCTCTAGGGAAATATCCTTTCTATTCCTTCTGGGGCAGTGGCTCTTCAAGCGTTTAGTCTCAGCTTTTGGTAGAGCTACTGCATCCCTCGCATATTATATGTTACTGAGCAACAGCAGGAGTTAATAGTGTGTATTCATTTCAAAAAGCATTACCACAACTCTGCAGAAGACCAAGGCATCAGAAGGATCTGTAGCTGTAGCCCCATCTTTCTGTCTTTTTATATATTGCACCCACAAATAGCAGTTCCTTCCTTCCCCCCCCGTCCCTCCCCCCAGCCCCTTAAAAAGTAGATTTGGTTTTTAGAAGCATGTGTGGACACATCCTGAGCTTGTAAGCATGTTCTGTGGGAAGATGGCTGGAGAATTGTTCCTGTATTTCACCCTCACTGAAATGCATCTGTGAATTCTGGTTATCATAGCTGGCCTGTCCTTCATCCTGCCGGATGGAAGATTCCTGCAGTGCTTACAGGTGTTCTTAGTGTTCCAAATGTTTTCCACAAAACCATTGGCAAAAGCACTGGCGTGCTCTATTGATGCAGCCTACTCTGCCCTTTCTGGAAAAGTCCTGAGTTCAGAGTGTGTGTGTGTGTAAGACATCCTCTCTGACTCCTCTAAGGAGGATTTTGTCCTCTGTAAGCTTCCTGTGTGCTGAGCAACAGTGTGTCCGCATTCTCTAAACTCAATTCCAACGACGAGAATGAGAAGCAGACAAGTGCTGTCTCTATCTTAAAGCAGAGAAGATCCCTGGAAATTCACAAAGATGAAAAATCAGCAAACTTTAGCTCAGTTTTTCATGAACCCCTAGCTTTTTAGAAAAGCGATTCCAGGACAGCTAGGAGCATACCCTTCATAAGGAAGGGTAAGACTGTTGTACATCACATATAACCTGATTGATATCAAATACTGAAATCAAGTACTGAATTCTTTGCAGCTATTTTTATTTTTTTCTGAAATTCTTTTTTTGTGTTCTGATTTACTGCTTAGAACACTTTTAGTGTGTATTGACTGTCTGCTGAGGTCTCTGCTGACACAGCTCTTTCAGATGATGTAGTGCTGGAGAAAAGCTGATGAGTCTTTCTTTATGAGCTCTGACATATTAATTAGCAAAATGGGCAAAAAAGCTTTCCTATTTTTATTTTAATGTCACTAGACCATGCTTTTGGCTGGGGTTATGTTTCGAGACAGTTTTGAGACAAGATGAGTTGAAGATCTTACTTTCTTGCTGGCTGCTATGTGAGGAACACGTCACTGGGCTATGGATTAGTACTGGCAAGATTAAATGATACAGGGGTAGCGCTGTTACCAAGCTGAATTTGAATTAATGCCATATGGTCAGAGATAGGGTTAGGACCTGAGTAGGAAAAGGCCCGTTGGGGTAGTTCGAAGGATGCTTCTGGTCAAGTTCTGCCCCTTACTGTTAATTTTGCTGACAGTGCGGTTACCAGGTTACTGTTCAGCCTGTGGGTAAGATTAGTGTTCTGGGAAAGAAGGCTTGAAGAGGTAGATGTACAGCTAGATCCTACAAGGTCAGGGCTTTGATGAGGTCTGAGTGCTGACATGTCTGGTAGACCTCCCGTCTGTACCGCTTCGTGTATGGGTAACTGAATTGTGGTTAAACTGGGATTCAGATTGGAACTGGAGATTGTTTGGAATAAGGTAGGTTAAAGGTCTTGGTGTATCTCTGCATCCTTTAATGCCAAGATGTATTCTGCATTAAATTTTACTGAGGTTTCGTTAAGGCTAGGATGAGGATTAAGATTATGGTTTAGGACACAGGAGAGGTTGAAAAGTTAGATTTATCAGTAGATTTTATGTGACCCACTGGAACAGGGTATGGAAAGTGCAACAGATTAAGCTTCATTGTTACCTTCAGGAAAGGCTCTCCAGCCTATTGCAAAAGCCATGGTTGCATTGGCAGGTGGAATAAGTCTATGAGATGCTAAGGTTGCATCTGTACAAGTGTGAGCTGAATGTCCCCTTTGGCTTTAGAGTGGCACAGGATAATCCCCATCTGTGCTCTGAGCCTCTATTGTAAAATGGCTTCAGGTTGCCTCTGGAAGCTGTGCTTGGTATATCCTAACTCCTGAACCATTTCTAGGAAGTGTTTGTGAGAGCAGAAGAGCTGTTAAAACATTTTTATAGGGTAGATGATTACATTCTAGTAAACTCAGGTGTGCCCAGCCACTGCTAAATTTGCAAATATAACCTATGATTTCAAGAACTCCAGCTTAGTTTTTTGCAGGGACAGAGTAGGGTCTGGTGCAGGGACAAAATAGGGTCTAGTGCAGGCAGAATCTGATGCAGGTGTGTTAAAGTTTGTTCTGGTAAAAGTGTGAATAATGGCTAGGCTAAGCTTATTGCTGTAATTTGAGTTCAGACTTGGAAGGGCAGACAAAACTGGTGAACTTTTTTTTTTTTTTTTTTTAACTGGAGGAATCGTGCAAAGGCTTGAGCTATTGGAACAGCAGCAAAGTCCAGTATGCTTATGTAGCACAAAAAGCTTTCTTTTAATAAGGATTTTGTTGGGACTTAATAGTGGGGTTAGGAGGGACTACAGAAAGCTTAGTGGATGCTGCTAGGCTTGTTTGAGAATGAGACCAATGCCGTTGTAGCGAGTTTGGCTCCTGTTTTGCTTTTGATTTGCAGGTAACACAATTACATCGAAGAGGTGCGTAGGGAAGTGGTGTTCTCCTCTCCTCGTGCCAGAACTCATAATTTTATTAACCAAACTTTCTCACTGCTGTAGATGTCATTAAAGCTGAGCTTTTCAAAGGGAGCATTGGGTTTAGTACTGAGTTCATGAGGATTTATATAGTAACTAGATCCACAGTC